TTTGTGTTAAACAGAGAATTAAAAACGGCATTTCCTTTATTGAATCGCTCCGTCTGTGATGGTCTTCTGTCATTAGGCGTGTCTCTACTACGGCACATGGTTTCAAAGTGGTTGTCTCGGTGGCAGCGCTCAAATTTGTGACCAAAGGCTGTGCACTGGTTTCTGCGGATGCGTGTGGCACTTTTCATGCCATGGCCGCACTTGCCACAGTACGAGCATGGGCCCTGTTTATCCTCATTCAGTGGGTGCTTGGTTCACTGATAAGATGAACGTGCAGCCTCCACTGAATAGGTGTTCAGTAATCTTGAGGCTGATCTTTTCCCAGCTTCAATGAACTGGAATAGCTCCTCCAATGATATATCCTGATTTTTATCGCCTAAGAGGTCTAATTGGATATCAGGATTGGCAATTCCTTGGCTTAATACATCGTGCACAATGGCATCGGTGTAATTCACGTTATACTTGCAACTAGGGCACGTGATGACGAATATGCAGATATCTGCCTGTCCACGTAGGCGGGCACCAAAGTGTCGCACTGGTTTGTCTTGATCCTGTCACATGTTGTGCAGTGTTACCCTTGCTGCCATTGTGTTTTCCTCGCAAACAGCTAGTTTCCAAATGGCAAACATGACTACATCTATGTTTTGTCTATAAGGTTACCACCTGATGTGTGAGTGAGATCTCTGCACAGTGGTTCATCACAGCACTCAAGAAGTTGGATTACCGCTTCGTGCCCTGATACCTTTGTAGCTGTCACATAGTCGATCCAGCATGATTGAAAGCAGGCCCAGTCCTCGCTAGAACCAGTGGCAGTTAGAGTTGGCCGTTTGACTTTCTCAACAGGGGCAGCCTGAGCAGAAGTACCAGTAGTGTGAATGGCACCATAGGTTGTTATGAGTGTGGCAACAATAGCTGCGTCGAGATCTGGTGTGGTGTAGTCGCAATTAGGGAAGGGGCACTGGACTGCAGGCATGGCGATTCAACCTTGATGTTTTCTCCAGAGAAGTCTTGTTCATAAATAAGAATGGAATCTATTTGTTCTGTAAACGTTTGTCTACTGACAATGAACAAGACCTGAAAGAGGTAGAAACACAATAGTAAGAATTACATGAAACATCGTAATCTTATAAACAGAGTTCAAGATCTGGTCTAGTCTGTTGCATTCACTTCAGACTAATATCCTTGGAAAAGGTGTGAATCCATTTCTTCTCTCCTCACCTATAGATTAAATAGCAGAAAGTAGACAGCTATCTAGCCTTAAGTGACAGCCAGTTTAGGAGAAGGACAGCTCTGAATTCAAAACTGTGAAGAAGACAATGGGAAAGCACACCACTATCTTTCCCATGATGTCATGACAATTCAAAAATAATAAAAAGAAATCTATGGTGAGACATGATCTCCTATTTCCCAAAGGGACATGGCATTTAAAAAGATAAAGGAATCAAATAATAATTTTATCTTCATTTTTTAGTTGCTTTTTATTACAGTTTCTACTCAGTCTGTCAATTAAAATAAAATTAAGATGAAAGTAAATAAAATTTAGAAATTAATAATAATTGTTGACAATGATTAATAAAGTTGATTAAACAATAAAATTAGAAAAGAGCAAAAAAAAAAAAAAAACTTTTAAAACTACTTGTATATTAAAAACTGAAATCATAGTGTAACTGGTTTGTAGAATATATATTTATAATGTAAGAGTTAACTCAAACACTTTATTAAAAATATTTAAACCAAAATTAATTCAAGACAATTATAAGTTTGAGAACTATGATTTTATTGAATCTACAAAAGGCAAAACAGCAAAAATTACTGTGTTGACCAAAAAGTCAGTTATTAAGAACAAAACAAAAAGAAAATTTTTTGACATTAATTTTACTGAAAATATATTCATTCTTTCCAACATCATAATTATATACCCACAAAACTATCTTTCTTAGCAAAGGTGATTTTGCAATCTTCCAAGAAACAGAAATTGTTTTCTTTAAGAGAATTCTGTAAAGAAGTAATCTGAAGATATATAATGTCTGTTCAATATGATGACTAAATTAAAACTTACCAGCCGTTTTCACTAGTCACTGTTATAAAATAAAATAAGACATATCTCGGCTGATTTGCAGGCAAATAAACTAACATAATCAAGAGCGAGAGCCGAATGTGAATGGGACAAAGCCCCGTCACAAAATGACCATTATCTTCGTTTACAAAATGTTCCCGACGCACGAGTTCCGGTCGAAAAATAAAATAATATTTAAAGTGTTCTATTTTTCGTCCAATAAAAATGCTTCCCTCCTAATTATACTCACTTCATTTTTTGAGCCTGTTAAGCCATAAAAAAACGCCATAAATGGGGGTCACAGGGAAGTACGTCAGTCAACAGGTGGCCAGGGAAGAGACTTGTCACAGTCAGGTCAAGCTGTCAGCAGGGGTACGCCAGCGTCATCATGTGTGAATTACTATGAGAGATCAACCTAGATCCGAAGCCGGCTTATGAACTATACCACAAGGTAGCTGTCCCAAACCCTCACGTTCCTGTTGAAATAAATCATGTAAATCTATTTCTGCTGTTGTATTTCTTTCTTGCAACCATACGCTTGTCTATAACATCACCAAAGAGAAATTAGGTTTAATATGTACTGAGGGAATATTACAGTCTTTTTCTTTACTATTTTTCTTTACTTACTGCCATCATTTGGTTTGTTTGAATTAATCATTTGCTTCTCTAGAAAGAAACTCATGGTAGAGGACTCCCTTTCTATCCCATCACACGCCTTTGAATGAAAAGCAGTTTTTAGTACAATAATGGTTCATTTTGATCTCCCTACAATCTCTAACATTCTATTTTGTTGTAAAGTATTCAGTTTTCATTAAAATGGTTATGAAGAATGAGGTGTATGATATGAATGAAAGAGAAGGTGGTAGGAACTGAAGATGATAAAGAGAAAAAGATAATTGATCCATAACTTGTAGAGGTTAAGATTGTAGTGTTCAAGGAAGCATCCACGTAGGAGTTTGTTCCACAAAGTGGCAATTCTTAGGAAAAAGGTGTCTGAGTGGAACTTTTTCCTTAAGTAGTGCATTTTTTTCTCATTTAAATTCCATGGAAACTACACATCAAAATGACTAACAAGTTGATGAAACTCAGCTGATTTGGTTATTGTAATCATGTTATCTTCTGAATCATTAATATTATTTTCAAGTAACATCTTTATTTGATTGCTATCAACCTCAACTAGTGTAATTTTGAAGCATCTTTCAGTGAAAAATCATCACCATGAAATTTTGCAAACACTTTTTTGTCACTTTCTAACTTTTTCCATAAACACCACAAATCTTTTTTTTTTAATGTTTGGCTCACATTTCTATTTTTCTGAAAATAAAAACATTGATGCTTATTTTCTTCCATCACATTAAAACCAACTAAGAAAAATTTGCAAATTCTGACTTTTAAAATGCTTTCTGATATGACAACTGTCACAATAAGATAAAAAGCAATCCTTTTTTAAGCAAGTTATTTAAAATTAAATACTAATAATAATAAAAAAAAAACAGAATAAACTTTTTTGATCAATCCAATATATACCACTGAATGGAGTACAAGTAGTAGAGAATTACATTAAAAATTACTCCTTACAAATTATTTAAATGGGAAAAGGACAATAATATTTGAAAATTTATTAAAACTGTTTTAATTATAAACAATTTAGATGAAGTGAATATAGTCAAATTCTATTGATGATAAACCTACATATAAAATTCAAACTAAATAACATTCTGAAATAAATTGTTTTATGCAATTTTAAATTTAAGATATATATTTTATAGAAAAACTCCGAAAGTCTTTTTCAAAATTGTAGAAAATACCACAGTACCATTCTTCACCAAAGCTTTATTCTAAATTAAATTCTTTCAGTTAATGCCTCAAGAATGAACCAGCTAAAAAAATGTTGTATTAAAAGCAGTAAAAATAAATGAAAGAAAATTAGTCAAAATATTTGTAATGTTTATTTTCATCTAAATAAAAATTTACTCTATATTTTACATCTTAAAGGTACTCAGAGGGAAAGAATCATTTTGACTTTTAATTGTTCTAATTTAAAACACATTCTTATCATAAAAATAAAATGAAGCTTGTAAGTGGAAGTAGAAACAAGATTAGAAGAAAATTAGATTTTTACAAATCCTATTGCCTGTAAAAAGAGGAGAGATAGAAGCATAGAAAACAGGACAAACTAGGTTATTAATTCTGACCTTGGTTCTGCTATACAGCTTAATTGATGGTTACTGAAGATGAATATTTTCTAAATTTCTGTGCATTGAGGAAAAACACTTTATAGAGTGACCTAGCAGTTGCCCTTATAAAAACAAATTGGGTTGCCTTCCTTTGATTCTATAATAAAATAGAGCAAGAGTGAACCCTAAACATATCTTCTTGCAAGTACAATGAATTAAGCTTTGAATCAAGATTGATTTCACCATGGCAAGTTCTAACCATTACATGCTGATCAAATAAAACTGCATTACTTATTAAGGTTAATTTCTATGAACCTTAGTTCAATGTTATTTTCATTTACTTCAATATTTTGTCCTTACAAGTAAATAGATATTATCTAATAAAGTGTATGGTTATCTGGAAAGTAGTGGATAGTAGTTAAAGGTTGTAAATATATTGATTGGAGAAAAAGATAATGAGTTGATAAATACACTTATGTGAAGAAGTGTGTTAACAAAATAGGAACTTTTTTCATCCAGACCTAAAAAGTACCTAGCTTTTGTTTACTGTAAATAGCATCTTCCATTTATAAAAAAAAACTTTCGTTCTCTCTATCCTTTTCTCAATTACTAGATCATTTCCAATTAGTTAACATAGAATAGGTTAAGAAAAAATAAATACACAAAAACCTAATTGTATTTTTTAAGTATAATGTAGATTAGACAATATTCTAAATCATAAGGTAATAAAAAAATCCTTTTCATTTTATAAAAAAGAAAATACATACTTATTTTTAAGAAAAGGCACACAGATTGCTGAACCCAGACTGGAAGTACTTGCCCTTCCCACACAACACGGACTTGATCAAGTAAATGGTTCTCAATAAAACTGGAATTTTTTTCCTAAATACAAAAAAAATTAGAAAAACTTGTAATAAATAAGAATGATCTGGAAAAAAAAAAAAAAAAAAAAAAAAAAAAAATGAAAAAAAATAGAAAAACAAAGAAACTCAAAACAATACTAAATATGAATAGGGTTTTTGATGTAAATACCAGAGTGAATTATATAATAAAGATTATTTAATTCCTCCCTCCTCAATCTTTTAGAATTATATAGCTTAAATGAAAACATGACAAAAGGAAAACTGAAAAAAAAGTTACTTACCAATATCTCCCAATCATTCACAGATAGGGGGTCTACAAAAACACTTTCACAAAGTGGCACATTTCTTATAGGTTCCAAAATAATCTAATGAAAATAGAATCATAATAATAATCAGGCAAAAGACACAAATAAATAAGTTTTAAAACAATTGAAGTCTTTTTAGTTAAATTCAACAAATAGATTAGGCCTTTATTTGGACAAGATACCATTTATGCCAGAGATACATTTAATTTGAAATAAAAAGATTTATAAAAGTGAATATTCATCTCTCTCTTGACACAAATGCAAATTTGCTTCAAATTCTATAATACAGATATATTTTCTAAATGGCTTTAAGGTTTTAAAATGGTCACTATTAACAATTCTACAATAAAATTTACACAACAGAATTAAATGTTTTCCATATAAACAGTTAAAAATTTTGAAATTAAAAAAACAATGCAAAATATTGGGAAAATAGGAAAAAATACAGAAACTTTATAAACCTTTTCCTTCAAAATTATTTTAAAATGAAATCAAAATTTCACCAAGAAATTTAGATGCAGAGATTTTTTAAAAATGCAGATGCCAATTATTTAATAGAGGAAAGCTTTATTAAAATAAACAAAAATGCTGTAAATAATCAAAAAAGAAAGTCATCAATTTAAATTGTGAAAAAAAAAAAAAAAAAAAGTGAAAAATATTTTCTGTTGGAAGCAAATATATTTCCCAAAAAACAACAAAAAGTAAATAAACAAAGCTCACAAATTAAAGCCCAAATAAAATATGTGGGGAAAAAATAAAATAAACAAACACAGAAAACAACAGAACATCCACTATTCAACATGAAATAAGGAAGACAGCTTCAATGGACAGGTAATAAAAATATCAAATGAATTAAAATGGTTTCAAAAAAATGTTAAATCCTGTAAAATATTTTACAAATAAGAAATTTTAAATTAAAAAAATTATTTTTTTCCATCAAAATGTAGTATTTTGTTCAAGTTTACATTTGTTTAACATTTGCTATATTTATGAGACAAGTGCAATCAGTATGGGCATAGAAATTGGTGACTAGCAGTTTCATACCTTAAGCAATAACACTGTTTTACAATATTTTTTTCTCTCTGAGGTAAGCATTGTGAATAAGTGTTTTTTTTGTGTTTTTTTATTTATTTATTTTGAGGTGGTAAATTTTTGAACAATTTTGCTGTATATCTCTAGTTTTTTGCTTTTACATATCACATTTTTATTATACTGCATAAAAATTCAAAATATAATGTGTTTATTTTATCTATTATAAAGGCATATTACAAAAAAGCATAGTTACAGAGCTTTGCCAGAACTAAATTACTTGGATAATACCATACATATACATCATAGTACAGTCAGAAGAGTGTTTTTGGACAATCTAGTGGTCTTTGCCTCTGGTATGTTGTATAGAAGCATTCAGCAGAAGTCTCCCATCATGCTGGGGTTCCACTTGCTTTGGTAGTTTCTTTCTAGTTTAATAATATTTTGGTGGAACTTTTTTCCATGCTTATCACTCACTGCTCTGAGGCTTGGAGGGAAGAAGTTAAGGTGGGAGTGGAGAAAGTGAATTTTGAGTGACATTTGGCATCCCATATCCTCATAAGCCTGTAGCAACTTCTTGATACACTCTTGGTGATATAGTAACCGTGTGTTACCAAGGAAGCCATGGCAGATCAAATTAAATGCTTCCCATGCTTTCACTTCATTTAAGGTAAGAAGCTCCTCAAATACCTTATCCTTCAGCACTTCTCTGATCTGAAGTTTGAAGATTCCTTCCTTGAGCTTAGCAGAACTGGGAATAGAGTGCACAGATGTTGGCAGGAAGCACCATTTTTGCCCAGGGCCTTTACAAAATTCTTCATTAGACCAAGCTTGATATGAAGAGGAGGAAGAAGCACCTTATTCATGTCCACCAGAGGATTTTATTTGACACCATTTTCACCAGGCACAAAATTTCTCCTTGATTCCATCCTTCTACTTATGGTGCTTGGACACAGCCTGACTCTACCAGAGATAGAGAAAGCAACAGTACTTTGTAAAGCCTATTTGCATACCCATAAGGAGCTCAAAGACCTTGAGATCCTCAGAGAAATTCCACTAGTACAGTTTGTACTTGATAGATTCCAAAAGAAGTTTCATATTGTCCTATGATGCCTTCAGATGGACTGAGTAGGTAATGGGAATGCTGGGGTATTTATTCCCATTGTGCAGGAACTTAATCTCCAGACTTCACTTAAAAGAGTCTATGAAAAAATACCAATCTGAGGGATTGTTTGAGAAGCTATGCAATATTTGTTCAGTAGCACAACCTGCTTTCCATGTCAAAGAATGAAGTGAAGTCCTTGTTCAGTGTCCTGAAACTGGTGATCCTTACATATGCTATGACCGAGTTCCACTGCTTTTCAGGATTCCAGTTGCTCTGACTGATGCTTAGCTAGAGTACAAATCACAGGTAATGTCATTCAGGTCTTCCTGGGTGATTCACTGGGCTCACTCTTACTTGCTCCTGAATAAACAGAGACAGTATCTTCAGAAGAGGCCAACTTGGCAGAGTTTTCCTCTGGAGGCAAATTCTCATATGAATGAATGAATGAATAAGATCTTTATGTGCTGGGGATTTAAGGACAGGGAGAGTTAGGAACAGGTCTCTTAGCTGAGGAAAGGTTGGGATATTTGATTTTTTTTTTTTTTTTTTTTTTTTTAAGAAAAAGCATTGAAACCAGTTATATTTGTTAGACAAGGATAATAATCTGTATGGCTCCATGGCTCTCTCCAGGTCATTGGGACAGCAAAGTTAAAGTCTGCTTTTTGTCATGAAACCATGCAGTTAGTCCATTGTAACAGGGTTTACAACAGATGTGTTGGACTCAGGATTTGGCCTGATCTCTAATTTTACAGTCAAAATAATGAAAGTAAGCATATCTCAGATGGGGAGTAATTGTTTGGCATTGTGCAATCCCCACACACATAACAGAACGAATTTGCTTTGTTGATGCATCCTCAGTGTTTTGAAGTGCCTGAAGCTATTGTAGAGATATGTATTAGCTCTCAAAAATCTGGAAAGTAAAATAAATATTGATTATATATAGGTTTATGTCCATTTGTACCAGGCATTCAAATTTGAAGAGAATTTTATTTTACTGCAATGAGACTTAGCCTGCAGGGTTGGGTGTATGCCACCAAAGGTGGCCATTACATAAGTTTTTATTAAAAAGAAATTAAATTTAAATTAAAAGAAAAAAATTAAACAATGTCCTAAACAGGACACACTTACCAGCCTTGAATGCATGTACATGTATATCTCAAAAACTAGACATGATGAGTGAAAACTAATTTCATTTCTGAAATCAGTGCCTAAAAATTAGGTTAGAAAAAATATTTTTATGCTTGCCTCAATGTTTTTCTAAACCAGTGTAATCAGTCCTCCTCTTTGTGTAAGCTCTCTATATATAGGCCACATATGCAGAATGGACAACATTCTGCATATGTGGCCTACTGGTTTTTCAGTTTATTTTATTTATAATGCTTTTGAATTGTTCATAGTGCTGATGTTGACTTTGGGTATTTCATTCATTCATCTTATTTTGATATATTTATTTTTATTTACATTATTTATATTCAAACTAATGCTTGCATCTTTGTTGTTATTGCCACATCATTTTAGCTGTTACCCTCCAGCCTTCATCAGTCTGTTGATCAGGATAATCATCATAGAATTTTGAACTGAATCCTTTATTTAATCCACAGGAGTTGATTGTTCTTGTTTCATTATGTCTAGGGATATTTCATCTTGTTCTTATCTAGTACGGATCAATCTTTACTTGCACTGTTCTTACCGAGTCTAAGTTTGTACTACCCAGCTCACAATTACTATGTCACCAAATAGCTAAACCAATACTTTAATTCCAGATATAGAATGCTGATCAATTTCCAAGTTATGTAATATTGTTTCCTGATTATCTCAGTACATAACAGCAATGGTTTACAGCTGGTGCACACAGTGAAAAATTCTTTCCAGGCTGACTTAGTAACAATCTGTAAGATTTAAAGTAAGTCCATATTCCTAATGTTTAAAAACACCTTTAAGATCATTAAGCTGTTAGTTAATTTGGTCTGAGCTATATTTAATATTGATCAGATTAAGAGAATATAAATAAAAGATAAACAAACATAAAAAACAAATTCAATTGATTCTGCCATCGGAATGCAGTATAAACATTTTATGACAGTTTACCAATTAAAACCTGATATCAAATGCTTTTTTTAAAATCATATATGAGAAAAGTTTTACTTGTTAAACACAAAATTGCTGCTGATTTACTTAAAAAAGCAAAAAACAAAAAAAAAATTGCAAAAAACATTGAAAGTTAATTCCTTTCCTAAGGATTTATTCATTCAAAATGTTGATAAATTCATTAAAGGCTTCTTTTTGATTGAAGAAGTTCTGTAAGTGGTTTTGATGCTTAAATAGAATAATAAGGATGCCATAAATATATATTTGTAGCTGCAAACTCAATTTTAGTCTAAACTTGAAATCCTACAATTAAATTATCACTTGAAAGACATGAATGGTCTTAAAATTTTTAAAAAAATACAAGAAAATTAGTAAAAACAAATGGTATAGAATGAAATACTTTTTACTGAATAATCCACAAATATTAAAAAATATCATTTAAAAAATGGCACATTGGTATACTGAAAATTTCTCAGACTGACGAAGAAGAGATTAAAAAAATTCTTATGTCTGGTCAGATTTTAGGAAATGGGTTGAGCAAAGAACTTTTCAGCATCCCTTTGTACTTAAAAACTAGGTTGATTTTAGGTTTCATAGACACTTGGTAATTTCTCAACTGATTTTGGTCTGGTTTATATTCAAAATCTTTTTTTTTCATAAGATATAAAAAAGAAACCAATATAAAATACTTCAAATTATTTTTCATAGGAACAATAATAATTCCTGTAATTGCAAAATAAATTATCAATGATTCTTTTGTACTAGCATCATCCTCCGTTGTTTTTCTCACAGTGTTTCAACTACTATACCTCCATGACCTTCTTCATGTGTCTTCAGG